AATAGAGGCAGCTTTTTGCTACGACTAATATACCAAACGGTCTTCTGGTTTCAAAATATAGATCAAAGTCCAATGAAACCGATAGCAGTTATCAATGCTGTATTGTATAGATCAGAATGGTTCTTGAGGTAATAAACTCAAGTCCATTGGGAATTTGCCGCCTGGCCACTAATAGGGGCTCTTTTGAATCCATCGTGGACGAATTCATTTGTTGGAGAGCAACGACAGCCAGCTTCTGCGAGTGTTGGAAGTATTTCCGTGTAAAGGGTTGTCGTCGATAAGCCTTTGTATTCTAAGTGGACACCTTTTAGGCGTGTCAGCTGGGTGCAACTATCATTATTAAACTTTGGGGCACTGACTACAAATTGAAAGTGGAAGCACTTTGTGCCTAACTTTTGCGCACTAAACAAATTAGGGGTAATACACTTCATAGCACAGCAGGTAGTGAGGCAGGTAGTGAGAAATATAAAAACTTGTGCATAACACGCGTCGACTTCAGCATAGCTTTTGCCTTGAGAGATTACACCTGGATTGCATTCAGAATCAAATTGCTAACAACCACCCGGTCCAGAAAGAAGACAAATGATTAGCATTCAGAATCAAATTGCTAACAACCACCCGGTCCAGAAAGAAGACCAAATGATTACCACGGGGGGGGGGGCATTGGAGGTAATATTTAATTTAGTAGAGGAGTGTCTTACAAAGTTACAGACTCCGAAGTAGAAAATGGGTCCTCCCTCCAATCTAGCGCCAAAGGATTTTGAGAGACAGCAAAACTCAGTAAAAATTCAAAATGGTATGATAAATTTTGGATAGAAAACACTTTATTCTGGAATCCAGTATAACAAGGTAGAAGCTTGTTCATGGTCAAGAGTGCATACCTTAGTATGGGTAACTTGACTTGGAAAACAACTGGTTAAAATTCTGGGGTCATCAGTTTCTGCCGGAATTTCTACCTGAGGCTGATGGTTGGGAAGTGAAGCTATTGGGCTACCAGTGGCGCTGCTTTGATCAAACATAAGGGAGGGGCATGATCCTGTAAGCAAATGTACTGCTGATCAAGAACCAACTACGAGTTCATCGGAACCCGATAGTTAGCCTAAGATTTTTGTCTTTTACATTCCATAGGACCGGCCAGTTTATGTGTGAGTTTCTTGTACATTGGTTTTGCCAATGTACAAAACATCCTTCAAATTGTTCGACAACACTATTATCCACTTGATTTATTTGAATATACCCTAATTTTCTATATTTATTATGTTTACTGTTACTTTGCTTGTACTTCCAAGTTAGGCTGCTACAGAGCAGGTTTATAAAGTTTACATTCAGAATCGATGCTCTTAGATGGGTAGCACTTGGAAGACACTTTATGAGGTCTTCAGGAGGATAACCTTACTTCAGATGAAACCATATTGAGAGGTATGACCTTTGTTGTTCGTGTCGCGCACACAAAATCTGAGAACAGAGGGGCCAAAAACGCTTAGCGGAGTCGATGCTGAGCTGGACAGTTTCGTGACGATTGATTAAGTTTAATGTAAGTTCTTAACTTCAGTGGCTGTAACTATTGGAAATGTGATACCAACGTTAGGAAAGATGTATCAAAGTGGCTAAAAATGAAAAAGTTCAAGAGCATCATCCATGGAATGGGTAAATGACTGCTGTTACTGCCTGCCACCCAGAACGTCTGCTCCAAAAATGTACGTTAGCTCATAAGAATCGGTAAATTTGCGGTCAGTTGTACCGTTTCCCTATATCAAACTGGTGCGATGCAAATGTTAGACTAAATTGGGTAAAATAAGAAGTGCTCGGAGCCTTTTTCACATGCAAATAAGTCCATGGCACGCATCCATCAGTGCGAGGCTACTCACGAAAGATACATTATTCTCTTAGGATATGTTCACTTGATAGAATATTTTGTGAATAGCACGTGATATTCACAAAGCGGTTGAGATGACAACAAGTCAACAAAACAATCAGCTGATTATCAAAGTTCTCTTCAATATTTGGATGTGGATTAGTTTAACTATTTAGAAGTACACATGGTTGTTTGTGAAAAAACCGTAATGAATGTCCGAATCGTTATACGCTCCCTGAGCTACTGCAGCCTACGCGGTCTCGAACATGTGCAGACTGAGAATACTAAGTGGCCAGTCCAAAACCCTTTGGGAGACGAAATGGGATGTATCCCTTATGCTATGAGAAAGAATAATCTCAACAAATCATGCCTCTCTCTTGTCTACTCATGACAATCAGTGTCATTTTTACACAATTTAGCGTCCGGATATAGAAATTAGAGTTATGTAAACTCTCCAGCAATCTCAGATTGCGCATTTCTTTAGCTGAAAATGCGCCCAACTCAAATGCAAGCGGATCAAAGTATAAGACGCCATGTTTGTTAATGGTGAGCCTCCGGTTTGGCACAAAAGCACACACTCATTAACACACCTCCATTTTGTGAGCTCACATGATCTCACGTTCACTGTACTGTATCCTGGATTGGATTTTCTGAAATCTAAGGTGGGAGTTGGGCCTTATTTTTATCGGTGTAAATAATAACTGTCATTTCAAGGGATAAAACACGCTGGACAAATACACGTAGCCCTGCTCAAGAACTGCTAGGTTGGTATGTCTTCCTATGCGAAAAAGTAACAAGTGGGCAACACTGGTTAGTTAACGAAGATGATGTTTTCTACATCCTGAGATTGAAATAATTAAACCTGACACTTGTTGCCGCAAGGAGGCAGGAGTGCAGGTTTTTAAACAAGCTTAAATAATGACTGTTGTAAAGTTTTCAGACAAATTAGGCTAGAATATTCACTGAAAAAGTTGACGTTGAGACGATTACACAATCTCCTCACATTCAACCCCAACCCGCTGACCAAATTGATATTCCTGTAAAAGAGATGAATTTCCAGTCAAAATGCGAACTTCATGAGCAAAACTCATTCAGTTTTATTCGCCAGGAGCATATAAAAAGGTTGACAAAGTGAATACAGACTTTTAACTTTGTAGCTGCGTACGCAACGTTCCACCTTTTCAAGCTGATTATATATTAAGATCTCGTAGTTGTTTCCCGATTATTGCTAACCTACCAAAAATCAACGTAGTTTGATACACTCTTTTCCCATAGAGATATTTATTCTGGATCAACTGGATACTAACTGGTACAGAATCGAAACCAAGCTGGAAAACGTATTTAGGCAGCGGCACCAACTGGTCAGCCTGAGCTGTGTGATGAACGAAGTTCATTTACTACGTCTTAAGCAACAGAGAAACTATGGATTTAACTAGCGTGAAGTCAAAAGCTTTCTGTTTAGGGTATCTGCTAGGAAGGAATTCGGGTCACGCAGTTTGTGGAAAGCCGTTTGACATATTACATCAAAAATTGAACTTGTAGCCTGTGAGTTTATTACCGCATAGCACCTGAATGTGATTAGCTCTTACTGTTAGGTTTGCAAAATAGTATGTGTGTATGTATGTAGCGGATTAGCTACATAAATGAAGTTTCAGTGCCCTTAGGTGTGAACTGCAACAGAAAAGGGACTATTTTTCCCATTTTCTTTGCTAGGCCAGAACCGTACATTTTCTCAGGTAACTCATACCTAAACAGGAATGGAAGATTTTTGATATTACGGTCACAGTAGCTGTCAAGGGCATGATATCTACTCGGCTACTTTGGGTCACATCGGTGGACGATTGCAAAAAGAAAATATATTCCAAGATTACAACAGTAGTATTCAGTTTAACATATGTCTATTTCTTCGTCTTAATTGCACGCGTCATCCGGGTCTATTGATTACAGTGGGTATTTTGGTTGTGAGACATATGTCGGCACACGCTCGTTCACGCTCGGCAAAGTACTTTGGTTCGGTTCTACCAGACTAATTGCGTTGGAACAGGAAAAGATCTCTTTAAACAGGAGGCGGATATGAGTGCAAATCCAAAAAGAGGGCCCTAGAACAGCTGTAGTGATTTGAATAGCGGCAGTCCATAGGTTAATTTCTGTCAATGCAAAAGACATTTCATAAATGTTACTATCAGTCTTCATCAATTAGTGCTAGTTTGTAAAGTTTATCCACTTGATTTGGTACGTATTGTTTGTGAGATTGATGCCTAAAACGGACTAATCTGTTATTAACCAAAGGTTAGTTAGGCAGTAAGCTTCTGGTTTACTACAGAGGTTTTTTACAAACAGTGCGGTTTGTAAACTGTGAATAGACTAAAATACACGTTGAATTTCTTCTATCGAGTTGCAACCAACCGAGGTTTTCCGCACTTTTACAGTTAGAAGAGTGATTCGTGTAGGCTAATGTAGAAATTCCACGCTTGAAACGTCTGCGTATACGAATATCGACAGCAGAGATTTCATTGGTAGATGCATGAAGAATGCCAAAGCTCTTTGCTTCTCTATGGTGCTGCTTAGATGAAGGCTTCTCGTAAGGAAGTATGAAAGAAGTAGTCCAAGGGTGTTGAAGGGTTATTACGAATTCACTCTTGCAAATGAAGTTAGTCTACAAATGAAATTGACGTTCATTGTACACCCATCTCATCCTTGTTAGGATTCACTAGCAGTGAGTATGTTAGAAAGCTCTGGAGAGATTCGGTCCCGTGACTTCCCAGTTGGTGGTTGAATTTGGTTACGAATGTTTGATGAACACGTCACGTGATCTTGTATTGGCTGGTACTTCAGATGACACCATATCAGGCAGCAGACTCATGTGACCCGTAAAACAACATTATTGTGGATTTCTTGAGGAAATGGACAGATCATTTAGAAGAATCAGTTGCGCAACCATGTTTTTGGTATTCGGTAAATAAATTGTCTACTGATGAACTGCAATTCAGCCTTAACGATCCAGTGATGTCTTTTCCCCTTTCTTCTTTCTCTTTTCCTCCGGTCGATATGTTCATAACTCAAACACGGGTGCAAGCTATCTCTCTTTGAGTAAATGTACGATAAAATCGATAGAATTTTTTTCATTTTAGCCATCCTCAGATAGACCACGATGAAAATGATTGATTTACGCAAAGCTGAGCACTTATCCGATTTGACCGTTTGTGTGGAGAACGAGAACTTCAAACTACACAAACTGCCTTTGTGTGCAAAATCGACCTACTTTAAAGAGCGCTTCCAAACTGACTCCGAGTGCCAATTAGAAAAATTCCCCGGCGGGGCAAAAACGTTCGCTTTGGTTGCCGACTATTTCTATGACGACGCAGTGAACCTGGATCCGTTCAACCTTGTAAATTTGCATTTCGGAGCCAAGCTGCTGCAAATGGATGGTGACGACAATCTGTTCGAAATTACGAAACAGTATTTGCGAAAGGCGTGTGATGATGCCAGGCGAAAACGCAACTATCTATCGGCAGTCGCTGTGCTCTGCTCTGCTTACAGTTTTGATGATCCTGATGCAACACAGATAACAGAAGACACTTTCAAGGCATTGGAGTTTGCTTCGTATGAAGCACTCGAAGAAAATGATTGCTACTCTTCATGGAAATCTTCTTCTTGGTCGGGAGATGACCTGATCACAGATTATCTTGTCTACTTGCCCCTGGAGTTCGCGGCCAGATTGATTAAGAGTTGTGGCCTGGACGGAACGAACAAACGAAAACTCTATCGCTATGTTTTTAAGTATTTGGGTAGAGTTTTGGATCATGCTGTGGCAGCAAGAGAGTCATCCTCTCCGGAACCCGAGACCGAAGGTCCCGAGAAGAATTTAGAGGAACGGCATCACACCCAAGGTAAGTGGTACCAGGAATATTTCTACAAAACTTGAGCAGATGCAGAGAATCCAAAGGATATTCCTTTGATGAAATGTCAACCTCCAAGTCAAGTGGAGAGTGAAATACGACAAAGAATGGAGACATTTTATGAAAAAAGCCCAAAGTTACGTGAAACGTTAGCGCATCCGGTAGAACAGTTTGATGCCTTGTTTGATCTCATACCAGAAGAAAATCCCTTACCTGACATTGTGAGTGTGCCGTGGATCAAAGAGGTGGGTCTGTTCGATCAGTGAAAAAAAGTTCGTTTCTATTGGAATAGGTAATTTTCTCTAGTTTTTATGCTTAACCACTGAACTGCGTTCAACTTTTTCTATTTTTTCATTTTTCTGATGTGTTCAAGCTAATGTTGGAAATCATTGATAGTATCACTCCACGTATTATCTGTTCATCTGACTTCAGGATAGCTCAGTGGTTAAGGCGCGAACTTTTTGACAGGAAGGCCAGTGGTTCAAACCCAGCTCCAGCATTTCGACTGCTTCTGCCTAGGATTAGGCAACCTAGCAATGTCTCAGCTCTCCTGCTTCTTTCAGATGGCCTTGTATTATTGTCATTATCATTATATATGCGTTAGAACATGTGCCTCCTTGGTGGGGAGTTTGTTGAGTGGGTAGTATCGTTTACAAGTTTTTGGTTTATTTAGGAGTATGAAAGACTTAAAATGCACACCTGGTTGATGTCATTTGGTCAACAAGAGTAATAGGGTGACAATTGATTGTTCACCAACGTCTGTAAAACTTGAAAAGATCTGCCTGCACACAACTTCATTTAAATGATGAAATCCCAGTTGGTAATAACTACGAAAAAGCGTTCAGTTGTCCACAGATGACTACGTAGAACAAGGTGGTTTTAGCTGGATTTTCAAAGTTCGAGTAAATAATTAAAGTCAGCACAAACCTAATAGGTCTTTTTTAATTGAAGTCCCCAAGCTGGTGTACGGTGCTTAGAATACGTGTCCACCCCTGCACTTGGCTGAATGTATTGCACGAAATGTTGGCTGAACAGTGTCAGTAGCGTTCTTGTTTTCAACCTCCTCCGTATTATCTGAATGAGCACTTGAAAATCTAGGCAGCTCCAAATGCTTGCGATATGCCAACCACCGCTCCATTCTCATCCACTTGATTCTGTCTTTTCATTCTAAGTCTCTAAATGTGGGTAAATACATTCTGTGGTTGTACTGCAGGGAAGCATCGTAGTTATTACTGATTTTGCTATCTCTGATACTGATGATTTATTGAAAGCACTGAGTTCCAGTGATATTTCCAATCCTTATTTCATGTCCTAGTTTACCTATTCATGCGTTGCAACTCATGATAAAAGCAAATTTCCAAAAAACTTCGACGCCAAAACCACAGTGTTTTTTTTCATTGTCGGCGACCGTCACATGGAGCCTTTGTTTTTTTGCAGGCCGTTCTTCTGGTCGAGAACAGTTCAACAGAACCAAGATGCCGCCAGAAAGTGTTGAGATTAGCCCAAAAGTCGTTACCAAGCTTCAGCAAGCAGGAGATCTGCAAGTTTACACCAGCCACCATGTGTGATATAGTGACGGCAGGAACTTCGTCCAGGTCCGAAGGGACGAATGCAGAGCCTCGTGAAGAGTTATCCGAAGCAACACAGAACAAAGACGGGACGCAGTCTGAGGCCAAACAGTCCACAGAAGACACTCCGATCTCGCTACCAAGGTGTACAAATCGAGTATTGATAGAGTACCTGAAACAAAAAGCTGAAGAAAATGAACTTACTACTGAGGATTTCTTTAAAATCTTTGGAAAACTTACGATAGATGATGATGACCGTAGCACACACGATGGCCTCATACATGTCACACTGAAAGTTCGTCAGGCAGGTAAGAAACATCAGGTTGTTTGTAGCGTGAGCAATTTATTTGTGCTTGGTAACCTTCTGCATTGCTAGCTTTGTTAGAAACTATGGTATTCCTGGGTACATTACTCCTCAGGAAGTCTGATCTAGAAGTGAAAACTAAAGGACCCAGGATGTTTACAACATATGGGAAGCTCTGGCGATTTGGGATTTACTTAGGCATCTGGGTGCTTCACCGGGAGTAATTTCAGGTGCCTTGATATTCATGAATCCGAGATTCGGTGAATCTTATGATAACAAAGCCGAACAGACTGCGTTTTGTGAGACATCCGTTTGGCCAATTAGCGGTGAAAAATAACACCAATCACAGCATCGTAGTAACCCAACAATGTGGACACCGTGATGGCCTTCGCAAAGAGTAAGGCAGTCGGATCCACGAACGGCTAGATCGGTGTTCGTCGCTGTGCTGTCAACCCTCAAGCTGTTGTGTGTGTGCGTAGTTCGAATCCTAGGTCAGATCATCCTGTTATTGGTTGTACTGTCTGATACGAACGGGACCTGGTCTAACCGCCGTTTCGATCAGCCCAAACAGGATGTGTGCTAAGCACCAAGGCTTCCGCACAGCACCGTTCTCTGTCGTGCCTCGAATTTCCTTCGTTCAGAATGATCTTTTAATCCCTCACTCTTTTGGCTAAGCAGTTTAATCCCACCCTGGTTGCCAAATGAGTGCTAAACCCTGACTTCTAACCAGCAGTTAACCGCGCAGCGCTATTTCCACACGTGGCATGGAAGAGAACGTTGGTAGCTCCAGCTGCATAGGTGGTCGTTGGTTTGTTTGCCTAGCTGGACAAGCTGATGATAAACGACTCATAAACATGGGCTGCGTCAGTGGGTCTCCAACCCACCCACTGGTTGGCCTCACTATGCAACAAAGTACTGATGATGACTCCTAGATTGGTGGGAGCTCCACCTAACTGCCCTACTCAGTGAACAAAGTAGCACTTATTGTTCCATTGTGTGTCAAACTTTCTTCCATTCCTTCAAGACTCACAGTAGAAACCAGTCGGATGTAGTGTGTCAATTTTCACGGTTCTGATAGCCTACCTCTAACTTACTTTCAGGTTGGGATGGTAGGCACGAAGTAAACTGTGATTTACTTTCAAGCCCCGTTGGTTTGTCAGTGTTGTTTATACCTATGAATTCTGTTCCAGACCGAGACCTGACCGATGAGGA